CCTCGTCACCCTCTCTCTCTCTCTCACTCCACATTGCAACCCTGCCACATCATCGCCCGCTCACCACATAGTTATATTCCATGATGTCATGTTGCAATGTCATGGTGCGGGTAAATGTTCAAAGGGACTGACACAGGCAGGTGCAGACGTTCGATTATTAGGCCCCAGGTGGGGGGGGGGTAATGATGTTCTCGTGGAGCAGGAGGGTCAGTTGAAGGGTTTTTTCAGGGGCGGGGGGGTTGGGCAATTGAGCTAAATTTTAGAAAACCTTGGGTGGGTCGGGTCGCCTTGACGCAACCTTTTTTCTTTAGGCGAGGGTGGGTTGGGTCAAGTGGCAAATAAAAAAGAAATCGCTCATTGCTGACACCCAGGTGTTGTAAACGAATAAAACACCCGGGTGTTGTGGATGAATAAAACGCACCGTGGGCATTATATTCGTGCATAATGCCCAGGCATTATTTTTGGGTTAAGACGGTTGCCGTGTCGTATATGCCCTTCTTGCCTGTCCTTTTCACAATTATCACACATGATGCATGCGCTTGCTTTGGCCAACATTTCTCTTACAATCATTTGTAAACTGTAATGCATGACGTGCAGCTCAATGCTTTCCGAGACGCCCCAGTTGTGCATGTGGCGGCAGCTCAGCATTCATCATTTGCCATCACAAACTCAGGGTTGGTAAGTTACACTATGTGTATCAAGTTTTCCCTCATCCTCTCCCTCTCCCTTCTCTACATGGATGTTCTTTAACCACCGATATCTCCTGGAAAATTGGCCCAACACCTGGAGAAAGAAAGCAAAGTTAGAGAACACAGGTGACTGTTGGATCGTCAATCTAACGGACCGATGGACAAAAGGTGAGTCTTTTGGTAACCAGGGCGGTGGTGGTAAAAGGTAATGGTGTACAACTACAGTCAAGACAGCTTTGCCTGCGCCGCATCACACATGCATGTCACATGTGCAATGACCCGAACTGAATCAGTGCGTTATGCAGTTTCCTGAGTGATTTACTGGTTCGATTTGCTGAGATTTTCATGTTCCGAGCGAGATTGCTATTTGCTTGCATGTGTCTGAGTCGCTATGTGATGATTGCTATGTGGAGTACTGTGTGCTCACCCTGTGCTTTCTGTGTCGTAGGAAGGGGTAGTTTTGAAATAGGGGAACGACAGGGATAGGACTGAAGTGGGACATCGGGCAGACTTCTAGAACGGCCAGGATGGACAGAGGCACAAGTTGAATTTGGCTAGTACCCTGTAGGGATTTTACAGCTGAGGTCCAGGAGGCTTGGAAGGAGACCATAGTCAGGGACCGTACCTAGACAGCAGGTAGGTTAGATTTGGGCCCTGGAGTAGTATTGCAGGCTGCAATGATGTTCCCGCCCAAAGGACGGAACTTCCAATAGGCCTAGCACTGGAGGAGGTAGCAGTACGTCGACCAAGGGAGGCTGGAGGCCGAGTTGCAAGAGTATATCATTCGGCCACAATGATTGACCTTATATTGCTAATATTCCAATGGGAATAGTTGATACTGCAACTTGTATTCGAGAAATACAAAAGATTGTTTCTACAGGCCTAGGCTATAGAGGTAGAGGGTGAAGCGCCTGATGCCAGGCTATGAAGATGGGTAGAGGAAGGGTGTAGAGGTTGAGGACGTTGGGGAGAGAGAGGAACCGACATGGGAGACTGGCATTTGGCTATAGTGGATCTTCATCTCCACTCCCTTGGTGGTGCCGCATCCTGAAGGCCCCTGTGCACGTACTGGCTGGTCTTAGTCCGAGAGTGCGGCCATGGCAGGATGAGACAGGAGGGGCTCTCTGAGTGCTGGCAGTAAGGGGGAATAGTCGGACATGATTACGTTTCATTCGCTCTTTGGTTGTTGGAATTAATTGATTATCTGAGCAGGAGGAATGGAGAAGACGATGAGAGGGAGAAGAAGTGAGCCTGATAACATTGGGTTCATCTTCTTCTTCCATTCTCTTCATCTGATTCTGCTCTTAATCTCTCTCCGGTTCTTCTTTTGAGTTCAGCAAGTCTTGCCTTTTCTCACATTTGAGTTTTGCATTATGGATGTAGTACGATCATAACACATATAAGTTGGCGAATCTTTTCCATTTACCTTGTGATTTGTTGAGCGTTTACTTAAATTTGATGTGGTGGAGGGCAGGATCCGCTGCTCTTTCCGTTTCAAATTGGTCGGTGTCTGCTGACTTCAGCTGCTTGAGATCGAGTTCCACAGGCACTCAAACAGGTTGAATTTGGTCAGCGTTGTGTTTCCAGTGGACTATACTACTACTGCCAGCATGTCGGCACACGTGCGAGGAGTCAAAGTCCCTGCTGAACTTGTCCACTGCCTTCCATCTATGAAATGTATATGATCATCTTTGTCACAACATCACCGGTGCAAAATGATGAACAGCCATGATTGCTGACTACCTACACGCTGCCTGTGCTCTTGGTTTTGCATGATGTTTGTTTGTTATGTGCTTGCTGGCTTGCTTCGTTCTGAATGCACCCTACTTACTAGGTGTACGCATGGGGATTCAATGGAAATTACGAGCTTGGGCTCGCAGAGGGAGTTGACCGCAACTCTCCTCAGTTAGTCAAGGCCTTGAGTGGGATAAATGTGACGTGCATTGTCGGTGGAGCACATCATGCACTGGCGCTAACCGGGTCTGGACAGGTTTATGCTTGGGGCAACAATCACTACGGTCAGCTTGGCGTCAATCACAGGGAACCAGGTGCGAGGTGGTACCTTAACCACATGGATCCATGTGTCCCAAGCTAAAGTGTGTACCTGTCATTGCATCATGGCTACACAGTGTTGATCTGGACCTTGCTTGCCCCCCCCAAAAAAAGAAGAAAAAAGTTTGAAAAACACTAATGCAAATGATGGCATGAAGATCCTGACAACCACTTGCAAAGCATGCTGCTCGCAGACTCGTTTATCCAGAGTGCAAAGAACCAAGAGCTCACTGACCCAGGAGAATATCAGTTCTACTAACTCGTATCAGTCCTGAGGCCTGGATTTCAGTAATCCCATCCCTTGCGTGGTGTCCATAACTTGTGATGCCGTCCGCAAGATCAAGGCTATCGCTGACAGCAATTCATTATCGTCTTCCGGGCAGTGCTATGCATGCCACTAAATGTCATGGGGGCTTTTCTAAAGGTCGTAAAGGCAGCCACATGTTAGGACGGCGGTGCGATCATCCAAATGAATATCTTCAATTGCAGAGCGTAGGATGAGAAGGGGGCTTTTGAGTGTCGGAAAAGAGTGGTATTGAATGGTGACAATGTGCACAAGTGTCTGCAATCGTGAACCATATGATTACAGAGGAAAGTTAATGTTGAGGTTTTGCATCAGGCATGCCATCTTTTGTCTGTGCATTGCAGTTTCTTCTTCTGGTAGGTGGACGTGTAAGACAGGGGGGTAGAGAGCACATGAGCACGAGAGACAGGGGGAGAAGAGAGAGGGAGAGCACGGAGGAGAGAGACAACGGCGGAGAGGGGGAAAAAGGGCAGGATGGAGAGAGAGAGAGAGAGAGAGAGAGAGAGAGAGAGAGAGAGAGAGAGAGAGAGAGAGAGAGAGAGAGAGAGAGAGAGAGAGAGAGNGAGAGAGAGAGAGAGAGAGAGAGAGAGAGAGAGAGAGAGAGAGAGAGAGAGAGAGAGAGAGAGAGAGAGAGAGAGAGAGAGAGAGAGATGAACCAATGAAGACAGAGATCCACAGATTGATGGATGGACTGACTGAAGGACGGCTGGAGGGATAGACAGATGGATAGACAGAGGGGCATGCAACTGGACAGACAGACAAATGGACGAACAAACAGACTGATGAACAGACAGAAGGAGGGATGGAGGGAGGGTTAGATCGACAGATGGGTGGACAGATAGAAGGAGGGAGGGGCAGACAGAGGGATGACTGGAGGGAGGGACGGGCAGATGGAGAGAGGGATTGATGATGGGACAGGCCAATGGATGGGTATGCGTATCCGAGGGAGGAACTAGTGGGGTGGACAGAGGGAAGTACGAATGGAGGAGGGGAGGCACGGCTGATGGAGAGACCAATGGGGGAAGGGATGGACAGACGGACGGAGGGAGGGGCGGATGGACAGACGGAGAAACGGTCAGACGGATGGACAGACAGACGAACGGTTGAACGGATGGACAGTCAGATTGAATGATGGACGAAGGGATGGGCGGTTGGAACCCTCAGTTTTTGGACCAAGGTTCTAGGTCCTAGAAAGCAAAGAGAGATCACCTTGTGCACCAAAGAGAAAATCAACCCAGGGCCGGCACACTAAGGCGTGGTTCTTGGGAGATGGGACAGGTCGCAATGTTGACTTGATTGCCAGAACCCACCTCAAAGAGAGACGATGCCTCAAGGCCAAAATGTGACCTTGCAGCAATAGAAGTCCCAAAGTGGGAATGCGGCACCAAATAAATAACCCAAATCCCACCATCATTGAGACAAATCCCCCCAGTCCAGAACAAAGAACTGGGGGGAAATCGAACCGTTCTGGACTATGCCAAAAAGTTGACACAAGGTTTTCCAATGGCCTTGTTTGGGGCCCAAAATGATGGCAAAATGTCAGCCGACCCTTTGCAAAGGCCAAAGGCTGGCCTTGCTATGCTCAAGACATTTATTTGGGTTATCTATGGTGAATCCAGGCTTGAAGGCTCCGATCCCATCTTGGAAGAATGTCCAGATCGACTCTAGAGTGAGCAGGCACTATATAGTATATACCTATATCTGAACTGCAGTTTGCGGTTATGGGAAGAGTGAGCACAACCTCACGGAACAGGCCAGGCAGGGCCAGGTTCAGGTCTCGGGCTGCCCAATACTTTGGTCTTAGTTGTGGGCTGATCCGTGGTGAGAATCTCCCTCCGACACAAATCCGAGATAGACTCTTAGCTTGGGGCTTGAGGAATGTTGCCCAGCAGCCCCTGAAAAGTGAACTTGGCAAAGAAGTTACCCACTTTCACTCCAAAGTTTGGTTTTGGGCTTGGACACGGGGTAGGAATAAGTAGTGTGGCGGTTGCAGGCAAAGAAGGCTCAAACTGCCATTTTTTTGGAACGAAGCCCCATTTAAAAAATTATTAGGGCATCTAGGCTGAAATGAATCCAGATCCACAGCAATGAAAGGCCTTCCACGATTCAGACACCAAATTCGGACTTCAGGGTCAGATGCCCAGGTCAAGGAAAGGCCGAGTTCGTCAAACTCAGAAAAGTCACAATCGGGTACCTCAGCAGTCTGGTCCAACAGGCACCCAGCAAACAGTCACGTCTCAGGGACAAGAGTCACGTCTCATAATAAAAACCATTCAGAAGAGTCACATCCCACGAGTGAAAAGGCAGATTCACCAAGCAAGAGTCATGTCTCAAAGGTAGGAGTCACGTTTCCTAATGAAAAGTCAAATTGAAGAGACACATCCCACGAGTAAAAGGTAGAGTCACAGAGAAAGGTCGTGACCCACAGGCAGGAGTCACTGTTCACAGTCAAAAGTCATGTTTACAAGTGAAAAGTCATGACTCAAAGGCCCAAGCAGCAGCAGTCCAATGGAAATTCGGGAAGGTTCCAGGCCTTGACATTCAGTAGCATACAGGCCGTGGGGATGTGGTACCGGAACCAGTCAGGACCCAAGAAACAGAGGCTGGCACGAGTTGAAGTGCAAACCAAGACTACAAAAGGACTGGCCAGCCTCACATTCAGGCAGATTGCTCATTTGCAAGAAGTGTGGAAGTGCTGGTGCACTTGTGCGCTTAAGTGAGGAGCAGAGCGCTGAGGCCAGAGTGCTGCGCTAAGTGAGGGGGAGAGAGGAAGATAGCGCTGGCAGGGAGAAGGCAGCCATAGCTGCGCCGGTAGTGCTAGTTGTTAGTAGTAGACTCCAGACTCCAGAGGGGTTAATAGAGTTGACAGTGGGTGTATTCAGAGTAGATCCATGAAGTAGTAGATAGTGAGTGTGAATGCATGTAGGGAGAGAAGACACAGCGAGGTCATAGCTAGGGAGAAGACCAGCAAGGTGGAGAGATACCTAAGAGGGAAGAGCAGAGGGGAGGAGATACTTACCTGAGAGCTTATGCTGATTATTGGTTACCTATTGGCACGCGCTGATGAGCGCTGGTGACTTGAACTCTTATTGCTCTTGTAATACTTTCTGGAAATGATAAGCTGCGCTACCTGGTCTTCATCTCTCTGGTCTCCAGTGTGAATTTCGTGTGAACTCATACATGCATGTGGTGTGAATATGTGCACTCACTGGTGTTGAACTAGGAGGTTCCCGGTTCATTGCAGCAAAGAGAAAGCCCAAATATGGGCCTTTGGAGAGACCCGCCCTTGGGCTTCCTATATGAGAAAATCCAAGGTGGGAACCACACTAGAAGAGGAGAGGAAGCACGGGTTTGCCTCTGCAATTGAATGGGTTTGACGCGGAATGCTGCTGGATGTCAAGAACAAGCGATTGCCTGATTTATTTAGGGAAGGTGCTACCTGGCCCTTGAGCAAGGTGCGTCGAGTGGAGGGTGCACAATGGTGTTTTAGTACGCCCGCGGGGCAGAGTGGGATTCTTCTTTCATGAGCCATGTGGACGCGACGTGCCCTCCTTCCATCCTCCCTCCAGCCCTGGCATTTATGCAGCCCAGCAGAAGAAAAGAAAACAGGCCTTTCACCGAAAAAAGGGAATTCCACAAGGGCAATGATGTCCAAAACTAAGTAAAAAAGCAGTAGTGTGAATAGGCCCCACCCCGGTGGAGTTGCCTAACAGCACCATTGGACTGGGCCGCACCATGTGGGGCATCCACACTATCTGGAGTGGATGGTACCAGCAAACAGAACCCCACATTTTAAAAAAAAAGGGAAAAAAAAGGGGGAAAAAACGGAAAAAAAAAAAGAAACCGCCCAACATCAGTCACAATTTTGTTCTTGCCACAGCCAGGCACTACTATGTGGGCCAAGCAGTACTATGTGCCATTGATGATACTATGCAGCTCGGGTCATACCACATGGGGCATGCCATACCATGTGGCTTGGGAGCTGCTATGCGGGATCGGGTCACCATGCGGGGCAGTCATACTATGCGGACTGGGCGGCATAATCTGGGCAGGGCCTTGGTAATAGCAAGCGAATTGGGCAGCACCATGACCGGTAGGTACTATATGGCCCAGGTGATACCATGTGGATCACGTGGTGCTACACCAGGTGGGTCATAATATGTGGACGGGGTACAATGCACTGTCGGTGGGCAATGCTACGTGGGCCGGGAGGTACCAACGCCCCCCAACACCCCCCCCC